ATATGTAGATGTGTATATATGTATATATGTATGTACCTGTATATGTATATATGTAGATTTGTGTGTGTGTGTGTAGAGAGAGAGAGAGAGAGACAGAGAGATATATTTTTTATACGTACATTAATACATCACACATACATGTGCACTCACATATATGTGGATGTCATGAAGTGTAGTGTGTTGCATGCGTGAGCGTGTTAAGCAACCTGCATGAACTTGGCAAAGGATTCGCGTGCACGTGTGCAACATTGCCCTTGCTTGTCCTCTTGCAGTTTTTTGCCTGCAGAAGACCTTTGAAAGTCTTTGGCTTCTCCTGGCCTTCGGCCAGGACAGGCACAGGGAGCTGAAGGAAGCTTTCTCAGCGGCCAGCCAGTCAGTCCAAGCATTCTACAACAAGGACACCCGTTTTTGCTTTAGGGCTTAGGCTCCGGTTTTTTTGGAGGATATAAAGCATGCGCTGCATCTCTGAATCTCAGCGGAAGGAGTGCTGCTGTGTTCCGCGTCCCGTCTGGCAGCTGATCGTGCGCATCGTCCAGACTGCGTTGTTCACCATCTTGTCCCTCGTCTTCTGCATCTTGTTCTGGTTCGCGGACAAAGAGAGGCAGTTCTCGCAGCAGAACTGCCAGACGGACTCATGTCTCTGCAACGACTGCAACCAACAGGCTTGGAGACGCTGGTGGCAAGAAGGCCAGGGATCCGCCTGCCACTTCGGCTACCTTGCCATGGAGCGGTGCTGGATACGCTTCGTCGTACGCATCTGGCGGCTTAGCATGGTGCTCCTGGTCATGGGCTGCGTCCTTTTTGGACGAGTCTCCCGGAGGAGCGATGCCTTGCATGTTCTGGTCTTGCTGGCCTCCATGTGCCACTTCCTATCCCACTCCTCGGACTTGTGGCCCAACCCGCGGGTGTGGATGTCTTGCCTGTTTCTGGACCTGGCAGACACTTTGCGCCTTGTGGCTTCGCTGCTGGTCGTCGTCCGATGCTTGAAGGATCCGCTGGGACCGAGCCAGTGGGATCTCTCCGAGAACTTCTCCCCCACAGTCGCAGCAGTTGCCGCCGCGATGGTTTTCTGGCTTCTGGCTTGGCTCGCTCGCTGGCTCTGCACCTCCATCACCTTCGAAGACCTCATATTTCAACAGCATCACTTCTTCAATGCCGTCTGCATTGTCGCAAACACCCTCTTAGCCCTCTTGTGCTTCGTTGCATTGAGTGCTGAACATAGACGGAAGCACGAGAAGCTCCAGGGCCGCAAGCATAGCGAGCTCATCTTGCGGCCCATTGCGCTTTGCAATCTGCTGCTCCAGCTGCTGTGGTGCAGCCTCGTGGGTGCGCATCTCTGCATGGGCATACTTCAACCAGGCTCATTCTCCCAGTGGAGCTTTCTGGCAAACATCCTGAAGACGAATGCAGGACCCAAGCCTGCCCGGTGAGTGCTGCTAGTGCTGCTAGTGTCCTCTCAAGTTGGGTTTGCGGGCCTGTGAAAGCTCCTCGCCCGGGCTCGTGAAGCAAATGCGCAGCAATTCAAAGAAACACTATTCACTAGCCATACTCACAATAATCATGGCAGCGGTACAGTAGCAACGGTGGTGCTTGTGGTAACCTTGCTTATAGTGTCGCGACTAGCTATTCATGATAATCGTCCTCTCTGTAACACTCCATAATGACGAACCTGAAGAAGATGATAGTTTTGATGATAACTTCCCTACACCCCAGCCGCTTCCTCGGCACGACCCTGCAGCTCCCAAGCCGGGGACAAGGACTCCTTCATTTCGTGCTGCTGCTCCGCTTCGCTGATGCCTTTGCGGCCGCCGGCCGCCCGTTCACCCCAGTGCCTTTTCTCGTCCCGATCCGGCAGGCTTCCTAAAAAGCTGAGCAACGCTGAGCACCGTTGTCTGGAAATGATTACCAACAGTATCCAGACGCCCCGAATCAACATTGGGAAGTTTTCAGCCCTCGCAGTAGCCATTCTGAATCGAAACCTATCCTGGGGTGCTGTAGTGCATCCACGACTCAAATAAGAAGCCCTTCTCAAAATCTGGGGAGTTCCTGGAACCTGAATTAAGGTCCCGGCATGGGGATCTTGCATAACTTAGACAGACCGATGCTTGTGTGCACGCTCTCCGGATACCCCGCGACGCGAATCCGTGCACCCGGAGAGCGAGAAAATGGAGGAGCAGCCCATTTATACAGTTGTCTGACCGAGATAGTATTCAAGCATGAGAACGTTCGGACCAGGGTGACTGTGTATTGTGCCTCTGAGATCGGGTGCCCCAATCCTTTTTAGCCTCCAGCCTTGCCCACAGTCGAGAAGGGATTAGATTAGGGTCCATTGCGGTATCGTGTGTAGGGATGAGATGTTGGATTAAGCGTGTCAGTGGTCGGAAGTTCTGACGATTCGGAGTAGTTGAGTGCTCGTGCGCAGCTACAAGTAGGTTTTTTGATTGTAGAAGGAGCAGCAGGCAATCTTGTACTCATAACGGGTGCCTGAAGCCCACAATCTGGAAAAGCGGGTCGCATTCAGAGGCTGACAGCCCCATCCACACCCATCTGGCCGACTCTCAAAATAGAATCGGACTGAAACTGTGGCAGCACAAAGCTTTTCGCATCCTGCAACCTGGGCATGGGTGCTCTCGGAAGCATCTCCTTGTAGTCCTGGACATGTGTAGAATCGAACGACCTTGTCTCCATCATGCCAGCGAGGAAAGTGAAGAGGAACAGACAAGGCAAACCTAGCAAAGATAACACAGCGAGAACAAGAGGCTTCTGGTTCCACGAGGAAGAAATATCCTACTAGGATTCACCAAGACAGCTGTGCTTGGAGAAGAGCCTGTGTGCCAAAGATGCACAAAGTGGCCGTTTGCGCAGCGATAGGATACTTCCATGGTGCTTTCGCTACTGGAGGCTCGAGGTTTAGGGTCGTGCTCGAAGTGAAGATAGTGGGAGCATGGCCTGCGTAGCAATGGTCTTGAACATGTAATTTGGGGCCCACCACCTGTAGAGTGCTGTTTTGCAAGTTGGATGCTTGAAGCTATGTGCTTGGACACCGGTGTGATACGTGAGGCCTGACAAAGATGCTGGCCTGTGAGTTGTCCGACCCTCAGCATAGGCCAGTGTCGTTAGGATTCACATGATGGTGCATGAATGATGCAGAAATTCTGATGCCGTGCGCACTCGCGTGTGCCGCGTTGGTTGCATCGTCGTTGAAAAGCCAGCCTAGCTATACTTGGAGGCGAGTGGCTAGCGACAGCAATCCGGCACATGTTGCGCGATCTTACATTCCAAGCCCAGACTTTGCATTCGCATTCCTTCTGGAAGTTCATTCTGCGAGGCCAGAGTTGGATTTTACCAAATCGGCGGACGAATCGCTCAAGCAGTTTCAGGCATTCATGGAAACTTTTGTCGTAGCCTCTTTGCAGTGCAGTCGGCTGTTGTGTGAAGTCTGCAAAGTTTGGCATCGTGTTACGAGCTTGGTGCTGTAAACCCAGCATCAGGTTCTTGGCGTTTTGCAGCAAAAAGGAAAGCGTGGAAGGTGAGTTTGATGCAGGTTCAAGGTCGCCCAATATCTGTGCGCAGGAGCTGTACTTGGGGAGGGCCGCTGTCGTTCTTCGTGGTATGGCGCTGAGCACAAGCTCGGCCCGGCTGCGAGTTTTGTCTTTGGGAGCGTTTTGTCCCGTCAGGCCGACAGGCATAGGACATAGGACAGACAGGATAAGCGATTGCAGGATCTCCAGGGTTCTGGCTGTGTGAGATGCCTCTGATGTGATGTTCCCAGGACTTTGGGACAACTTTCTGTTCCAACCAAGATGCTACAACAGTACGACCAAAACTAGTAACTAGTAGAAGCTTCTGATTGCGATCGGCCTTAGCCGCCCCCGCCTCGTCTCCATTCTGAGACCCTCAAGCTTTCGGAGGCCGGGCTGCAGGCGACGAATGGCAGCGGCTGCGACGTCTTTGGGCACCGTGGCTCAGAATACCTCGACAGGTCCGAGATGAGAGACGCGACCTGAAGTCTTGCGCGGGGCTGCGGAAGACAACTTGTTTCAGTATCTTGCTTGTGTTCCGCTATTTTTGCCGAGGTGCGATCGCGCCTGTTCGCAAATCATGGCACGAAGCTGAGTGCTGTCAGTACTGCTGCGCAGCACTCGCCCGACAGAGAGATCTGCATGCCATAAATGTCTGAATGTCTACGGTTCAGATCGTGCCAAAGGGCAGACAGAGGCCTTGTCAGCTTTTTTCCTTGCAGTTGGAATGTGTCAGCACAATGCAACGAGGCAGGCGAAAGGAAACAGCAGCCATGCAAAGAAGGTACTCGCAGCGTGCGGCCCAGTGACCTACATCGAGGCACCCGGGTGCTCCCGGGTCGGAAGATTGTTGGGAGCAAGATCAGCCCTGCAGAGCATCAGATTGCGGCACTGCACCAATAGCAGCTCACACATCGCAGAAGCAGAACTGGCATCTCGTAGGCTTTCATCCGACAAAGGCTGTGGCCTGGCACACGTGCGAAAGAAGAGGACGGAGGGTGTGCAAGCCGCGCCGCCATAGCATTGCAAGTTGCTGGCAACGTGAACAGAAGTCAGTAGTATGGTAGAAGTAGTAGAAAACCTTGAAGAGGACATCCGTGATGCACTCTGCCATGGCTCCCGGAGGTGGCTGTTGCTACCTGCAGACCCTTGTCCCGCAGATTTCGGTATTTCACGGGGTTCTTTGTGAGGTCTCTCTAGGCTACGTGATTTTATTCCCATGATGCTGCAGGCCGCACCACCCAGTGCCTCTGACAGCTCGTGCTCACGTACGAATTCCAAGCGAGCTTCGTGACGTGCGCCTGCATGGTCCCAGCATCAGTATCGGCGGAAGAGGTTCCACGGCTGTTTTGCACAGGCACATGCAACGTGCCTCAACGTGTCCTGTCAGTGCTGCAACACATTTTTGTGTTCTGGTTCTGCCCTTGGCAGCCAGAGCAGGCACGAAGAAGCCTGGATGGCGCAGGTGTACGGCATGAAGCTGCACCTCGGCCGCATAGGCGCAGATGCACTCTGTGTGTTTTCCGCCACATCCCCTGCGACAGGTGGCTGGTAGGCCGAGGAGGCAGTGATCTTGCTGCCGACGCACTAGCCAAGCCATGCCGCCACTACAAGACAGCCGGGCAAATTGAAATTACAACTTCGGACGGCCCGTTGCAGCTGCGGCGTTGTGTGACTGGACCATCAGATATCATTTACGTGCCGGATCGATGGGCACATGCAACTTGTGGCCTGAGCAGTTTCAACATCGGCGTTGGTTTTATTGGATCTGTCTCCCTGCTGCCTCCACTGCATCAGGCGAGCGTCGCTGGAGATTTGCAAGAGGCTTTGAAGTCTCTGCAGCTATCCAAGGCATCAGCACTGCAGCTCGGTGGCCCCGGAATGCTGAATGAACACGGTTTGCTGCCCTTGCATTGGGCTGCCTGGAACGGGCACCTCCCCTTGGTCGCTTTGCTCCTCCGTGCCCAAGAAGAGGCCGAGACAGCAGAGGGCATGGATGGAAAGGGCTTTGGTGCTGCGCACGCACTGCGCTGGGCGACGGCGCGGGGCCATGCGAGGGTCACGGCTTTCCTAGCGCGGCGGGCTGGTCACGCTGCGGACGAGCAAGGCAGCGACATACTCATTCCTAAACTCAGCATGCTGTGCCGTACCTGTGCCGGGCTCCGGTCAAGGAACCACGCCACTCCACTGGGCAGCGGCCACCGGGCACACCTCGGTGTCGCTGCAGCTCCTCGCACTGAAGGCAAGTTAACTCAGGTTGTATTGCCTTGTTTTGTGGCAACAGCACTGCGCTTGAAAGATGCAGCTTCTGTCCCGAAGGGTGGAGGATGCTTTCTGTCTTGTCAGGCAGACCCCAATGCTCCGGATGCTTATGGAGCCCGGCCCGTGCAACAGCTTTGCATTGAGTGCATTGAGAGAGGGGAGGGGGGGGAGGGGAGTTGTACAGATGTTGCAGGCTTGTTGCAGATTCGCGCTTAGGCATTTCTTGGCCGGAGAGGGCCACGTGCCAGTTCTGAGGCTGCTGTTGCTTAGTGGCAGGTTGGGCGATGGGAACATGAAGCAGCCCCAAGGCAGATGCTTGAAATCCCTTCCCAAAAGCCGATCTGCCTCCAAGGCTCCTGCACAGAGCCAACATCGAAGTGGCGGATGAGGAGGTTTCGCTTCTCACCTCGCTCTCCGTGGTATGAGTAGTGAAGAGCAAGGCTTTCAACAGATGATGCTCATGTCAATTGAATTTTCCATCCCTTTGTGTGAGCCGTGGCGTGGCAACTTGAGGTACCAATTTCGCTGTGCTTTTTTGAAGTAGATACTTCCTGGAAACCATGCTGTTCGATGGTTGCGGCCATTCAGCAACAGGACCTGTTTTGCCCAAGTGCGAAATGCGGGCTTTCCACATAGTCGTGAGGGTCGGGAAGTCCTTTGCCTCGGCCGGACCAGGGCATCACCGCAACCCATGCCGCCTCGCAGTTTGGCCACACGGCCTTGCTTCAAGAACTCGCGCGCGCAGGCCCGCATCAGACGAGCCAGCTGCATCAGGGTCAGATTGTCAGAGCCACAAAGACACCAGAAAAGGCATGCAGACGAAGTGCTTGAAATCACTGCTATGGCATTTGTGCTGCTACCAAAGACAGAAGTACTTGCATGATTCACGCCGTGCTGTTGTGAATGATGTCACCAGTACCGATGGTCGTTGGGCCTCGGGCCAGTGGCAGTTCATGGCGCAAGAAGTCCTTGTGGCGGTTGTCGTACATTGGTCGTCGTCCTCGGCATCATCGTCGTAGGCAGTCGTGGTAGCCCTGATCGAAACAGTAGAAGACAGTGATGCCCTGCGTCGCCTCGCATACATGCTGCATGTGCCTGACACGATGTGCTGTGGGCTAGCGTATGAAGGGTGTGTTTCCTGACATGGGCACCCGTGGACGTCCGTCCAGCCACGTGCTTCTTCGCCGACCACAATCCATATTGCTTGTGTTCTTCCTGGCAAGAGCTCGGATTTGCCGACTGGAGGTGCAGATGTACACCGAACATCCGCTACAGGCTTCAGGCCCTGGCACTTTGCAAAGGCGAGGTTGAGGGTTCTATACGATAAGTTACGTGGATGTGCGTCGTGATGAAAGATGTATGAGAGACGGAGTTCTGCACTCGGCTCAGGCCGCTGGGCATTCGTCGACTTGCGAGTGGCTCGAGAATTCAAAAGCGTCAGTGATGCCTCTGTGGGGGGTCTGTACGAAAGCTGCCATGAATGAGATTGATCTTCTCCGCAGCTTCTGTCACCATGTCACCGCATGTCACCGAGCATCTTCATGGCTACCTAGCCTCCTGCACTGTCGGAGCTCATATGCTTACTGCTGAGTACCATTGTACTTCGGAGACTGAGCCGCGGTGGAACCATGTCATGGGAAGTCGCAATCAATGTGGCAGACAACCTCCGCCCCGTTAAAACCAACCAGAACAGCCCATACGCCATCAACCAACGTGGCATTGCCGAACCGCCGTTGGAAGGCCTAGTTACGCCTATGGACTCATCGATCTCGTGCTGCGTAGGAGCAGGCTGATCTCGCTGCACTTATGGGCCGCTGGGCTGTAATTCGCACTTAGAGTCAAGGATTTGCTGGCTGGTTGTGGTCTGAGGGACCTCTCCTTCCTCGTGCTGTGCATCCAACCTGGGCGATGCCTCCGAAATGGTCAAGGAGCGGTGTCAGTCGTCCTGTCCTCTACCGATGCTTCGCGCTCCATGAAGTGCTACGCTTGCTTAAGCCGGAGACGTCGAGGACTCCAACGTTCCAGGGCGATTTGGGAAGGCCGGGCTTCGACGGCGACAAAGGGCTTCTGCTTCTGATCGGAGACAGTGAGACGCCCTTCGTTGGTTTGGGCATGGAGAACCTGAAACGGGTCAGCTTGACTTCTCGTTGCCTGTTCTGTGTGGTCACATGTGGCATGGACAAGGTCCGGACTGCCAACTTGCCGAGGGTCGTGTTTGGACAATCCGGAACGCTCCTGCAGTGCTCAGGACTCTCACACCTTCGAGAATGGTGCCACTTATACCGGCGAGTGGAAAGGAACTTGCAGGCCTTGGGTAAAAGACAAGAGTAAGAGGGATGCTCTGTGATGTCATAGAGGTCATGTGGTGGAGTCATTACACTTTGTTTGCATCAACATACAGTGGACGCCCTAGACCCTAATCCAGACCCTAATCCTGCTGTCTCCTGAATCAAGAACTTTCGGGTACATCGAGTCTTGCACCGCTCTGGCTTTGTCCTTCGTTAGAGCATCTTGGAGGCACGGCAAAGGCGCGCAGATTTGGCCCGATGGTGCACGCTACGAAGGCGATTGGATTGATGACAAGGCTCGCGCTTGGTGAGTTTGCGTCCAGCGGCTCTGCGAACTGCCGCTTCTGCAGGCCACCGGCTCCGGAAGATTCGAGCATGTTGATGGCGATGTCTACGAAGGTCAGTGGAGAGATGACAAGGCTGGCAGTTGATGGATCTCATGCTGGTGATCGAAATGAGACTGTATAGACTCTGCAGTTGAGAGCAAGTTGCGTTAAAAGCCTATTTTGCACCGTGTGCATGCTTGGCAGGCACACGGCCATGGCACCTACTACCACGCTGACGGGTCCAAGTACGAAGGCCAGTGGCAGGACGACAAGCAGCACGGCCAAGGCCGGCTTTTGATGCCGAGAAGACGCGCACCTTTGTAACACCATCTTTACACCTGAGCACTCAGGGACCGAGATGTGGCCGGACGGGGCCAAGTACACCGGGTCCTACGTGCCACGCCCCAGTATGAACGGTGGAGCTAGAAAGACTGACCGCCATGGATCCTAAAGCCTGCAAGAAGCAGCTTCGGATGAACATGAGGTGCATGGCAACAAGTCAGGGCCAGGCCATTTTGCCTGGGCAGACGGCTCCAGCTATCAGGCCAGCTGTCGCAACAACAGAAGAGAAACATCCCTAAATGGCGCGGCCACCGCACAGTGGATTTTCGTGTTTATTCGTCGGCACAGCGGTAGTCGTGGTGGTCGTGATCCTCTTGGTCACGGTGATGGCGGTCGTCACAGTGATGGTCTTCTTTGTCATAGCAGCAGTAGCAGGAAGCAGGAGCTGGAGCACGAAGGAGCAGAGCAGGAGCAGGAACAGCGGTAGCGGTAGCGGTCCCAGTCGCAACAGTAGGAGCAGGGGCAGCAGGAGCAGTAGTAGGAGCAGGAGCAGGAGCAGGACCGGCAGCTGCAGTGGTTGTGAGTTTGGCAGTTCCGACTGAAGGCGTCATCGTCGCAAGAAAACATGTAGCCCGCTTCGTTTGCACCTGCCAGGGAGAGTTTTTGAACAACGACATTCATGGGGCCCGCGGCCTGGAAGGGTCTCGGCACTTCGTGCATGGAGGGGGCACCATAGTCCTTGAGGATGGGCTTTGCTTATCGTTTATGGACCTGGACGTGAGAGTCTGTAGAAACTTCAGAAATGCAAGAGGGACCGTTGGCATCGATGACGCGAGAGGTCTCATCCGCAAAGGGTCTTATCGAAGTCGCTCGCCCCAAAGTGAATGACCCGAGCTGGACTTTCAAGTTTCTGGTTGTCGACTGCACCAACCGCAGCCTGGTCCAACTCGGCTACCGGGTAACGAGGGAAAAAGAGAGGGGTGTTCCGGACGTCGCAATTTGATGAGTGTCCCAGCCCGTCGGAGAATCGTCACGGCTATGCAGTCCCTAGCTCCTCGCCCTCGCGTTCGTCATCGACACACCAGGGAACAAACGAAGGAGATGCAGATTACGTTCGCATGCTGGCGCAAGTTGCCACTTCAGGGCCAAGAGCTGCAGCCGACAAGTGCGTGGAAGCATTGAATCCGGCACACCGAACATGCTACGTTCGAGACCGAGCCCATCAGGAAAGCTTAACGTTTGCTGAAGCAGCATAAGCAACATGGCAACTTGCGCTTTGTGTCGCATGGCCGAGTTGGCCTACGTCACGTCTGACCCTGAAGCAATTAGCTACGTTGCCATCAGGACAGATTGCATTCGCATGTGGCGCAGTTGCCACTTCAGGGCCAAGAGCCGCAGCCGACAAGCGCATGGAAGCATTGAAGCCTGCGCACCTAACAGGCTACCTTCGAGACCAAGTCCATCAGGAAAGCTTTAACAGTCTAACTTAATGGAACAAATATCTGCAACATTGGAAGCAAACCTGCATGGATTGCATGAGTTCTGGTGCCGCGCAGTCCAGCTTCGCGCGGGCTGCGCGGTTTCAAAAACTGCTGTCAGCTGCGTTGCAGCCCTCTACTTTAGGTTTCGTAGCCCGCTTCTCAAGTCTTCGAAAGATTGTTGTGGCCTGCTAACGTCACAGCTCAGCATGAGGCTGGCATCTACAAGTGGAGCGACGGAAGAAAGTTCGACGGCCAATGGGCCCGCAACAGGCCATGGGAAGCACAATCCAGTGCAATGTCGAAAGCTGCACCGCTACATGTTTCAAGCTCATGAGAAGCCGTGCCATTCCGTGCTGCTGAGTTCCAAAGCATCAGGCCTTTCAGAGACAACCTGCCTCGTGTTGCCAGGATGCATGGATTCGGGCAATTCAGCTGGGTGGTCTGCACCTGAGCGGTGTGCATAGCTGAGGATAATTTGAGACACCTTGTAAAGACGAAGATGCTGGGTTAGGTTTTGTGAGTTCTGGGTCTCCAGCTGACGAGTCAGGGTTCTTGGGTGTCGATGGTGGATGTCTCGGCTTGGTTCAACCAGTTCTGACCTGCCAAATTCTAAAGCTATTGGCCAGGATGGTCGCAGCTACGAAGGCCAGTATGTCAGTGACCAGAAGGACGGCGAGGCCGGGCGCACCATTGCACGGGAAAATGCTGATGAAGGAAGCATTTGGTTTCTGCAGGGCATCTTCAGATGGCCTGACGGCGACGTGAATGCACTTAGCGGCCTTTGACGCGCCGGCCTCCAAAACCTTAGTGTCTCCAATCCCATAGCTCGTACTTGCTTTGCGCAGCTGTGCCGCGCGACGCCTGCCCAAGGACGGCAGTACGATGGACAATGGAAGAATGGCAAGCAGCACGGCATTGGTATCTACTGCACCGCGCGAGGCACATGGGTCGAGATGGCAACATCTGTGATGTCAGTGCGATGATGAAGCCATGGAGGAGACAAGCGCCGAGGTGAGTGGGAAGAAGGCAGGGGCCCTAGGAGCGGAGGAAGCGGGCCCTGCTGGCAGCTGCCGAGGACGCCGCACGTGTTGGCTTGGCCCAGCCGAGCCGCAAAAGACGGAGAATGACGGCCAGACCTGAGTTGCAGCCTTGTAGGAACTCGTCGTACGTACATCATAGCTGCTTTGCTTAGGTGTGCACTCCCCTTCCCTACTCCCCTTCCCTTCCTTTCTTTGTGGGGTGCGAGGGTCTTTGTGGCCTGGCCCTGGCTGTGTGCTTCTGCCAGCACCAAGACCTAGCGTATTCTAGAGGTCCTAGAGCAGGATGTAGCAAAACGCAGCTCCATGTCACACTGCTCCCTCGTTGTTCTCTCTTGAGCGCCCGCCGTTGCGCTTTGGAGAACATGAAGATCAGCGCTCAGATTCAACGGGTTGAGTTGCTTTGTGATTTGTTAGCATAGTTCCATCGACTGAGCAGTTTCACCTCGTCTCTCCCATGTAGCACAGTGCCTTCCTGACGGACTTGGGCAGTCATAGGGCCTGGCACCAGTATCCTAGTATGTCACATGTGGTGTTGGAGAATGATCATCTCCCGATGCTTGTATCTTTCGAAGACGGCAGGGGAGGAAGGGCGTGCGACATGCTTGTCAGAATCCAGGTGCTCCAAGGAGGGCAGCTCACCCAAGCAGGCAAAACAAGCAGCTTGCTGTCTGCTTGGACCAAGGACAGGCGTATGAACATATCTGCACTCTTCGGCCTCTCTGGGTCACCTGCAGCTCGTAGTTGTTTGCCAACCACGAAACACACAAAACCTCTCATTGTACATTCATCAAAAGCCGGATTTTGCCTGTTGTGCAGTTAAAACGCCGTTTCAGCTAGGTTTTGTAGCAATGACGCGGCGGTGGCATCTTGACTGAGATTGAGGTGGCGAAGCTGCTGATCTAGGGCAGCTGTCTGCAGAGTCCTGTGTCAATCAGGGCAGCTGAGGTGTTTCCTTGCCATGGCTCTGTGCTGTTCAGCGCGACGCTTCGTTCCTGTTCGGCAGCGTGAGCATGCAGGGTTTTGTCCCGCCAGATTGAGGCAGCTCTCCACAATTAGTTACTTGAGCTTCCAAGATCCACGCCAAGGCAAAGGTTTATGTAAGACCCTCTGTTGTCACAGATTTTCAGATCCGTTGCGACATTTTCAGGAATCCGGCGTTCCCTGCCAAGAGCGGGACACCAGTGAAATTTACAAGGCACGAGTTCCGAAGCGTTCCATGTGTTCCAAGTAGCCCAAGAGAAAGATGTCCAGCATCAGGCCTTTCAAGAAGCGTTTCTGTGCGTGTAGACCTGCACTAGTTCAGTGCGCACGAAGTCTGTGGCAGGGAGTCTTTGACGTGCTGTCTAAGTTGGAGCGACGATGCTTGACGGCAGGAGTATGAGGATGGGAAGGAAGGGGCATTGTTGGAATTGTCGCTGGATTGATTTCCTTTGCTGAGACCTAACTGCGGAGCCGTGGGCAAGCTCCAACTAGCCCACCAATGGTCTGCCTGCAGCGGAGCTTTTCCAGTCTGGTCCTTCTGCTTCCGCTTTAGGGTGCTCGAGGACGCGCCAAGCAGAAGAACACCACAGCTGCAGCTTCTGTGCCCGGAGATGCAATAGTCTTGTCTTGTCAATCGGAAAGGACAGGTCTGGTCTCAGAACGGTATGAGGTCAGGCTGCCTTGTTGGGCTCTCCACCGCTCGTGCACTATCTGTGAAATTGACGCCCTGTTTGGTTGCATGACGATACGGCTAGATGCCATAGATGATCAGACGTGGATCGAAAGGCAGCTCCACTGATCTTGTCCTTCTTGATCTGATTATGTGCAGCCAGAGGCACTCACGGCAGCAGATGCGCAAGCCTTGACGAGCCGACTCCGGGACGAGCCCAGTCTGAGTTAGAACTCAGAGTCCCATGCACTTATGTCACTGATCTCCGAATGACTGCATGTGACTTGCTGGCAATCCCGTAGTGTGTTTCGGATGCGGGTGCTGTAGTGCGCCGCCACATGAAGTTGCACTTCAACTTCATTTCAATCTAATATGGATCATGGGATTTTATCTGTCGCCCCATAATCAGAGGACCTTCGTGCCTGCGCCCAAGGTTGCATGCGATGCAGCGCCGCTTCACTGGACCAAGCTGTTCAGAGGGCGATTGTAATCCCTGTCATACTTCTACGCAGTGCCACTGCTTCATCATCTGAGAGTTCGTCTCAAGATCGTTGCGTAGCGGAAAACCTGTTTGCCTATTCGAGGCAGAATAATAATGACGGGCTCAGCTGATAAATGATGCAAACTTCAGTTCTCGCGTGCTGCAGAGCCGTTCCAGAAGCACCAAGCTGAGCCAAACTTCATGTATGCATACTCGGGTAGGACGATGATTGCTCATTGCTTGTTTTCTAGCCTGTACGTAATCCCGGTTCTCGTATCAACAAGTTCCCGGCCTAAATACCAAAACAGACTTAAACCGCAACCACGAAGGTGGCTTAAAGCTCAATTACTGCGCTGCCTGAACCCGCTTTTACTGCATTACAAGATGCCCGTGGCCCTCCCAGGGTGAAAATCGCGGAGCTCCAGGCGATTTGGGGGTCATGGGGGGTTGGCTTTGCCGGTGGGCTTTACAGGACTTGACAGGCGCAGGCTTGGGCTTGACAGGCATCAACCGAAAGCGGCGACAACTTCAGCCCACTTGATGTACTTGTTGCCTGGCCTGTCCACTGGCTGTGTTTCGGACTGTTTGCAGGCTAAGATTACCTGGAAGCTGCGCTACTTGCATTGGCTCCTTGACTGCGATTCTAGGTCTGAGGGGTGCCTTGGGTGGGAGTTCTTAGAAGAAGGCAGCTGTGGGCCCCACGCAATGCCTCAGCAGCCTCCGCTCTCCCCCAATCCCCAGCTCTCCCGAGGCCCGAGTTTTTGTGTGGAGCGAGAGTGCCCTGCTGAGGATTGCGCGTTCCGACGTGGCCTTGCCATTTGCCTGGCCGTGCCTTTGTTGCAAACTAGCGGTATCTAGCGGTCTCTGTTAATCCCATCTTTTGATCGAAGATGCCGTCACTCGGTCACTGTGATACAAGCCTGCCTTTTCTCAAAGGTCGGACGCTTGGCTACATATCTTCAACGGGACTGACAGCACGGACCAGCGAAAGTCGGCAAAGGCTCGTGAAACTCGCACGGAACATCTCTAGTCATTCTAATCCGTACTAGATTCTCAGCAACATGCGATCTTTTCGGAGCATGCATGTGGTGCCAGTCTAGCATATACCTGTTTGTGCATGTTCAACCGCCACTGGCGACTGCTCCCGACATTTGCATGAGCACCTGGGACTCCCGACTCGGCGAGGATGTTGCTTCGACGTTGGGGTGGGGAGGTCCACTGCCTTGACTCTGGGCGGGCGATCTGACGGGCAAGCCACCCGTCCTGCGTAAAGCGTGGGTGCATGAGCCGACTGGGCGTCGAGGCTTTCCACCTCACTCGGCGGCGTTGAGCCGAGCAGTTCCCGGGTGGCTGTAGTGTCGGAAAGGGCCCGCATGTGCGGCGTGGGGCGGGGCGTTCCTGAAGGAGGTCGGGCAGTGCATGGCAGTCAAAAGCACGTTCCGCTTGGAGTCTTTTCTCCTAGCGCACGCCGACTTTCGGCGGGCCATGCATTTCAAATTTGGCTGTGGCATGTGGCGATTCTCGTTTAGCATGCGGCGGTTGCCATATAATATGGCAGAGAGGACATGGTGCCCTGGTGCACCAACTTCTTCAGGAAGTCTGGGAGCGGTTCTCTCAGGTCACTTTGCGGGGGCATGGACGGTTTTGCTCAACATATCTTGCAGTATGGACAGACAGTGCAAACAAGCCGCCGCTCATAGGCATAATCCGCCGCTCATGGCAGGTGCTGAAGTATGTCCACCTGTCTCTTATCCTCGCGTGGCCTGCCAAGCTTAAAGACTGCTAGATACTGCAGAAGATTGCAGGAGCTTGGTTTGTGCATTGTGCAGCCGAGCGCTGAAGCACTCTGTTGCTCATGAGAAGGTATACTGTCCGACAAGAAGCGATGGTGGCACTTCAAAAAGCGGCGATCGGCAGAGATGGAGGTTCATGTGCAGAAAGTGAACTTGCAGTCTCCGTTGCCAGAGTGCAGGGTTGACACATGAAGTTGCTTTTTTGTTTCACGCTCAAGTTCACAGCACAGACTGATGAAGCCCCAGACCTGAAAGAGCAAGTCAGCGCAGGCGCGGTAGACGTGGAGACGGACGAAGCTTGCCACCAGGGCTAGATCCAGCCAGAAAGCGGTTTCGGTCAGCACATACCTGGTTGAAACCCCTGTTTGGATGAACTCTTGCGATGCGACAATCCTCTCCAGGATCTCCACGCAAACCCACAAGCTCAGACTCCGCATGCTTGTTGCTCAGGATCTTTTCGTCGTCATATCACCTGCTTATGCCTTCTTTCACAAGGCGTGTGGCTACTTGTGCCCCAATTTCCGAAGATATCAGAGACCGAAGTTGCAGGTTTTCCCACGACCGATGCTGTTACATACCACTTGTGTTGGAGCGTCTCCATGGAAGTTTTGGCAACGCGCCAGGCCATTGAGAAGGAAGGACAAGATGGGGGACTCTGCGAAGTGCTGGACAGAGGTGTTCTGTCCGACTCCAGTCCCCTCGAAGCATGTCCGAGTCCGAACTCCATCGTGTTGAGGCGATGCCTTCGGTGCAGCATTCCACAGATTTGCACAGCAGGCTCCGGCTCAGTACTGCCACGTTTCCTGCTAGTGAGCTCCGGGGATCATGCACGGCTTATCTTTAGAGCATGAGGTGCTGTAGACCTTCTCACCGAGCCGCCAACCCGCATCGTTGCTGCTGCTTTCGTCGCCGCTGCTGTCGTTGTTCTCGTTGTGTTCGTTGTTCTTGTTGCTGCTGTTGTTGCTCGTTGCTGTTTGTGTTGCTGTCACGATCGCTGTCGCTGCTCCTGCTGCTGCTTCTGCTGCTGTTGTCATTGCTGTGGCTGTGGCTGTTGCTGTTGCCTCTGCTCGACGGACTGGAAGATGATTCTTGTTGGGAGACGCTGTCTCTCACTCAAGCTATGGCAGTAGTGCGCTTTGCACTGACGCTTGTTTTCTGGTGTCAGCCAGACATCGTCGTGTAACTTTATGGCAATGTCCAGCTTGCTTCAGTTTGCAATTTTCAGTGCATACCGCTGGTCCCGAAGCGCTGCAGACAGGTGAATGTGGTGGGGATCGCCCAGCTCCTTTGCTTAGAGACTTAGTGCCTGAGGGTTTGCCATTGTGCTTCCATCCTTGCAGACCAGGAGGCTTCTCGTCGGGTATCGGGCTAGACTTCTTGCATCTTCTTGCGCTCGTTGTTTGTTTGGGGCTCGGCGATTGTGCTCGCTGGCGGCACGCAACTTCAAGTCTTAAGTCGAATACTTTCTCTGCGACTCAAGGTCAGATTGGATTGCTGCATACGCTTCCAGCCCGTACCAAAAGAAATATTGACATGTCGACCCTGGATGGCTGCATCTGAATTCTCAGACCAGCAGAGTTTTACTGGCGTATCCCCCCGCTTCCACCGCTGCAGTCGCGGTCGGTTACGTCATCGTGAGCATCGTCCGTGTGACTGTGTCTCAGCGTGCCTGGCGCGAGGTTCTGCCCGAGTCCTCTGGACAAAGCTCTTGGAAAGACAGCTTACGAGGCACGCAAACCAGCCAGGACGGCTCCGAGCAAAACTCCAGTTTCCTCCAAAGCAAAGCCTCAGCCCCCTTCCCTGTCATGCCTCTACCTGCACCGCAGCAACAGAAGCGATGCCACAGACCTGCGGATTTCTGATACCGCACTTGCATGCAGTGTCAATATTCTCGAGGTTTGTTTGGGAAAGGACGTTCTCATAGTTTAGTGGCGTTGGCTTTCCAGTTCGGCTTTTACATCCTGCCCGCTGCGAGCGCCGTGCAGATTTCACATAGAACGCGACGCCAGATGTGATAGGATCCAGTGCCAGTCCAGCGATTAAGTGGCGCAACACTGCCAGTGGAACGTTTCAGAAAGCTTCTGTCAGTTGTCTCCGCTGTACACAGAAACACATTGCAGAGGCATTGAGCATCGCTCTGCAGGTGGTCAGAGGAGAGGCCCCGGCTCCTGGCGACTGCCATGGCGACGATTTTCACTGTCAGCAGGCGCGGTACGAGTACGCTTGTCCTTCCTAGCTCCTAGGGCCTAGGGGTCTTGAAGATGTTCAGAATTGCTCACGGAGCTTCAAAATGCTACGCACGGCAGCCAGATGGGTCAGCCAATCAGCCACCTCGGAAGTCCAACTGCCGACAGTCCGAGGCGGCGGACATGTTCTGTCCCTCGTGCCTGGACTCAGACCACTTGGAAGGCGAATATTGGTTGCATCCTCAGAATTCACTGGACCGGAGTATGGCTTGGTGTTAAAAGCGTCTGCTGTAGCTGGCCGGGAAAGCGATGCTTGATGAGTATGTGGCGCATTTGCCATTCAGGCACCTGCCACATCGATTGGCAAGTTCCCAAACTGGCAGCAAACCCGCAACCGAGAATCAGCTGCAGATCTCAGCCTGAGCAGTTTAAATCGAGAACAACTCAGACCCAAGAGCCGAACTTTTGAAACTCTTGAGACTGTCCGTTTGCATCGCACCGCCGCATCGGAGATTCTCACATCCTTGAGCATAGAAACATCTGCCGGACGGCTGTGACGCTGTTGAAGAGACATGGTAGTGCACCTGTCCAGCTCAAGCTCCTAGGTTTCCTGTTGACATGATGGCTGCCACCGTGATGAATGCATTGGCTTCTGGAATGAAAGCATATGCTGACCACATGGATGGCATCTCCAAGTACCTTGGCCTTTTCGATGCCGGTTTTGGGAGGGAATGGAGTCTTGCAGCGCTTTGTTGGGGCCCAGAAGCTTAGTTGACACTCCACTGTCTCCTGGGCTGCAGGGGCCCTGTGACGATTACACTGAGACATCTGGTGTGGTTTCCAACCGCTTCCCGATCTTTGATCTCCGTTCAGCTCAGGAGCTGCAAGCACTTCTTTGAAAGCTTCGGGCCAAAATTCCGTTGAGAGACGGCTGGAGGGCCGAGTTTGAGAGGCAGCGTGTCCCGACGCCGGAGCAGCATCGAAGAAAGGAGGCGCTGCGCTGTTCAGAATTCCGTTCGTACAGTCTTTCTCAAGCTCCGCATCACAAGTTGATAACTTCAAGAAAATCAGCAACTCGATTTGCACTGCCAAGCTGAGATGTCAGCAAAGCACGGCCTGGTTTGCGGTGGCTTTTGCGCCGCCGAATTTCGCTGGCAAAGTCGAAGCTAGATTGAGGATGCCGTAGCTATGGCTGATGTGGACATGTCAGCACCCAACACTCACTGGTTGTCATGGTTCTGAAAGTTCTTGTGCTACGAATGCGCATGCTCTCGGCGCCATTGCGGCACATGGCGTCTGCAGCTCGCCCCCTGCTTCGTGGCGTTGTCTTCGACTTGGACGGCACGCTGACCGTGCCGCGGCAAGCCCCCAAGGCCCAAAGACAAGCCTGGCCTCGAGCCTTGAAGGGCTGAAACATGGACACATGGAGCCACATGGAGCCACATGGAGTCAAGGTGCCCAACCTCGACTTCCGGGAGATGCACGCTGCCTGGCTGAAAGCAGATAGCACAACGTCCAGTTCGACTGCGCCTTCGAGTTGCTGAATGTTGCTCAGGAGAGATGTGGCGTGCCAATGAAGGAGGACAGAGAGTTGCGGCAGGCCAGGAGTGCTTTGGTTTCGGCCGGGCCGTCAGGACCTGCTTGCTGCCGTCCGGCAGATGAGCCCGGAGCGCCAGCAAAGTGCCTGGAAGGTCATCGAGGACCGGATGCATCGGATGCCATGCCTCAACTTCGACTTCGTGTGACCCCTTCCAGCTCGCACGGAGCCAGCAGGAGATGGAGGGCGAAGGGAGGCGCACGCTGGAGCTCGCCGAGGGAGCGCTGGAACTTGGCCGCTGGCTCCAAAGGCCGGAGAGACGGGAAGGAGGGGATGGACGGGGGAGGGCTCCTTCGGCCTTCGCGGTTTGGCTCAGCAGCTTCTCGAGGCACGGCCTTCCAACGGCCATGGTCACTCGCCTCTTGTCAAAGATGGGAGTCCATTCCACTCTTCAGCGCTCGTTAAGATCAGGTGCAGCTCAACTGCCGTGCAGTTTTCATCCGACCGTCCTGAGGCAACTCTGCGTCGACCGTGCGATGGCTGCATGCTCCTTGCCATGCCAGGTTCTAAAGAAGCTGTGACCAACGAACTTCAACCAAACAAGCTCCGCACTTTTTCACCAAAAAACCGTTGGGGTCTAATTTAGATTTTCCAACAAGGTGGCCCGCGATACGGGGTGCGGCGCGGGAGCACAATCGCTTAGACGGGCGGGATGGTGTAGGGGTACGGGCGGGTCGCGACACGGGGCGTGCGTGCGGCGCATTTGCTTTGTGGTTTTTGGGTTCCGGGTTGACCTTGTTGCTCAGGACAAACTCTGGGGTCCGGCTGGCATCCCTGCTTTCCATCCGGCGCTGAGCCGCGATGACGTGGACCGAGCTGGGCCCAAGTGCAAATCTCCGTTCGACGTATTTCGACGTATTTCGATGCGTCGAGGAGCACGACAAGCCGCATCCAGCGGCCCTCGAGGTCGAGCGCTCATTGCATCGTCTCGGAGTAGACCGCAGAGGGGACACATCTTGACCTCATGTGCCGCTGCAGGCAATTGCGAGGGAGTGGAACCATCCACTAGGCCGCGGCCGTCCTGCAAAGTCTTTTAGATAGTATTTTCGCCGGATGTCATTAGACCTCTTTCGTCCCTGAATCCGAAGAGGCCCGGGGCTGCTGATGGTCGGGGACTCCCCTTCGAATGCTCCTCGGTTCCACTGGGAGAAGAGAGAAGACACAGAGCGGCATTTCCTTCTATATATTTATATGCGTTTGCAATATACATACAGAGGCTTGTGGGTCTTGGCGCTGGCTGATGGGATAGTCGAGTCACTTGACTTTGCAATCGTGTCGCTTTGAGTCCTGGTTGGGATGTCCTGCCTACCCCAATCACTAGTCTATCGCGAATGCTGAAGGCTGACGACACCAACCAATGCATAGTGAAGTGTCTGGAGCCTGCGTGGAGAATAGCTTTAGCTCAAGTGTCTCCGAAAGGCCCGATGACGCAAAGACGTGACAGTTGGGTTGGCCACTTGACAAGGCAAAGGCCACAGCAAAAGCCTGACTGAGATCACACCAGAAACGAAGGGTTTGGCAGACAAGTGCAAGCCCGGACGAGGGTGTTGGGGGTACAATGGGGTACAGCTTAGACCCAGCCCTTAGGCAGATGGATGTACCATCTTGTATATGCATGTTCGCAGGGTCCCGGTGTCCAGGACATTGGTTTTGGCAAAGCGGCGGGCGTGTCCACTGCTCTCGTGGACCCGAGGAGGAGGTTTCGTGAGGGCGAGTCTCGGCAAGTGGAGTTAAGGAGTCGCTTGGGAGCTGCTGGTTTCACGTTGGTGAAAAAAGTTTCTGCTAGCCTGAGGCAAGTTGGACCGGAGTCTTTTTGAAGCAGTTTTTTGCCAAAGGGCCCTTGTCCCTTGTTGCTACCTGAGGACTCCAGCTACGGCTGCTGGGTTGCATCCTCTCTTGGCTCAAACGGCTCTCCTCTACCTTGTCTGGGCCAGGTGCGGACGTCGTCATCGACAGTCTGCTTGAACTTCCACAGCTTCTTTGGAAAACCTTCGACATTCCAGGCGAAACTGCAAGCTCGACCTGTTTAAGTGTTTAGTCTGTGTACCAACACATCCAACACAAGGCCATCAAGAGAGGAGGGTCAACGTCTTTCGGGAGGCCCGCTGGGCTCCACCTCAGCGCAGACTCTCGCCAAAAAGTCGGAGCCGTGGCAAGAAGGGCACGTTTCGAAGACTTACGTCCTGAGCCGCTTCGCTGCATCCTGAGGAGCCTTTGCCAGAGACGGCCGCGTGTCGTGCAGCCGTTGATGGAGACATTGCAGCATTGAAAGCGATGGCGAAGGAGGCTCGTGAGGGGTTTTCAGGCTGTCTCAACACTGGCATGGTGCCAAGCTCTGGTACAGAACTCGCCGTGGGGGCGCAACTGATTCGCTTGGCAGGACCTGCTGGCAGCGGACTCTAGCGGAAACACCCCGCCGCTGGGTGATTTAATGCTGCAGAGTTGTAAACTGAAGGAGCTTTACACAATGCGGATGGACTTACATCTTTGTATTACAATGCATAGGACAAGCGGAGGACAAGGCGTGACGTGGCACACACCATGCACGGCCCATAAAAGGAGGTGTGATGTTGTCTGCTATGCTTTAACCTGTGGTCTCCACTCTGAACCGCATGGTGATCGAGATTTCAGACGAAGCGACTCGGCTGAGGCTTGTTTGGGCAGCCGATGCTGGGAAGGCAGATGTGGTTGAGTCGCTGCTGGCAGCTGGCGTGGAAGTAAACGTGAAAGGCCAGGGAGTTGTAGCTGTTCATCAATATGAAAGCCAGAGAGGTCCAGCATAGAATGTATAGATTATGTATTAGCCATGCAGGAGCTCCCATATGTTATTCCGATTCTTCTGGGAAGCTGCAGGCTACTTGGGCAACACTGCCGTGTCCCGGGCCTGCCGCCGTGGTCACGACTCGGTCTTGCGAGTTCTGCCCCTCGGGCCTCGGGTCAAGCCTAAGTCCCGAAGTGCCACGATGCGTATACGCTGTGAAGACTCTAGATACCTCTAGACTTTAGTGACTTTACTGTCTGCTGAGAGGGGGGGGGGGTCGGGGCGGCTAAGCTCAGGTTGAGCTCCGGAACGGGCGTGGATCTGGATGAGCCGAACGAGAAAATGCAATCACCTCTTCATTTCGCGGCATTCAAGCAGAAGACTGAGGCCAGGTTGCAGGAGCTTCCAGGAATGACGTTACATCATGCCGTGCAGGGTTCATGGTTCATCGCTTCGGCATGTCCGAAAGCCTGGAAAACGCATCGGATCGGCCATCCCGGAGGCTGTGAAGCTCATGCTTGCCGCTGGGGCCAGCACCACCTCACTGGACCGGAAGGCCTCGCCTCGCCCCGCCCTCTTCAGCCTCTTCGCGGCTCTTCCGGAAGCAGTGTCTCAGTCTCAGTGACTGCACCGCAGGGCCGGACCCCCGCCGAGGACACGAGCGACCCCAACATCCGCGCCTCAGTCTTGATGGAAGTCTGCTTGTGAGCCTTCGTTTGTGTGAGCTCCAGGTGAGCTGATTCTCCAAGCGCGGGCGTCGCTTTGAGCGTCACGCTGATATGGCAAAAGAAACGGGTTAAATTCAGCTTGCGGTTTGGCTGCCTGCTTTTTCTACTGGAGCAGAGCACCTGCTCTGGCAACCGTGGGCCGTGTTGGGCTCGAACATGCTCGAACTGACAGGGAGGGCAATTCTCAAGGATCGCGGTCCACAAGCAGAACAGTTCCGCTTCCGTCCATGCTTCCCACACCATCAACCCCAAGCCATACAAATGCAAGAGGAAAGACGTCCACGTCTTATCTGTTTGGTTCGGCAGCCCACCCCCGAACCCCCAAAACTTACGAACGACTTAACGGCGCATCACTGAACCACAACAAACCCACGGGCACCAACATGGCAGCTCCGACTGTTAGTCAGGCCAGCTACAGTGTCTTTGCTACGGCTTGCAGGCATGCGAACAGATCCGTCAATCCAATCAGATGCTGTTGCCCTTGCCGCCCTTGCCCATGTGTGCATCGGAAACCTTCACAACTCATGACGCATGTTCAGGATGGCTTCAAGGGCCACAAGTTGCTCAACGAGGCGTGGATCGTGGCTCACGCTTCTGCATGGTCCAATGGTGTGGTACCGGGCGTAGCAAAGCAGTGAAGCAACTTCCAGCCACAGCCACAGAAGGCCATCCAGCGGTATGGGGGATTCACGTGGCAACCAAAGAGAAGCAAGCACGGGGCTCACTTCCACCTCTCGTCAGACAGAAGTTTGATGCCTTTGGTAGGTGACCAGCTCTACTGCTACCGTGTGTCGGGGGGTTTCTGGTCTAAGGCCGTCTGCCAGCTTGCGAAGCTCCGCTGGAGGCGGCTGTAAGCGTGCTCGCTACTGCTAGCTCGTGTGTCCCAGCATGGATCCCTTACTGTGATGTCAGCCCTGTTTTGCTTCCAGGGCCAAAGAGCGGAGGCAATGGCCTGCTGTCCACGCTTGGCAGAGTACTGCAGGGCCTCTGTGGATTTGCTTCCGTGTAGAGGTGGATTGTGAGCTCAATCGTGGCAGTGTTGCTGTCAACATCATGGTGTCAATATGTTTTATCCCGCCTGAGCCAGGGTTTGCCATGAGGCGATTGCCAGCCTTCATTACATGATATGCTGTGTCAACTGTTTGGATGAGCTTCCTTTCAGGCTTAGCAAAGGAGCATCATTCACACTCAACTGGCGAAATCTGGCACCAGTCATCGTTTAGCTCAGGACCTTTGCTGCATCTCCTTGCAGCACCACGAATAATATCACATACACACACACACACACACTACCACAAGAGCGGAAATGCAGGCTGCACCTGTTGCAGCAGTCTACCGAGACCCACCAAAAGCCCACCGAAGCCACTCTTCTGGTTCCTAGGCCAGTCTTCACAGCATACTTGGATTGCACTGACCCGACGTCTGGGTGGGTTGTCTCCATGTCTCCGCCGGCAGCATCCTGCTAAGCGGGGCGAGAATGCTCTCCGGGCCTGTGCGAGTGCAGCCAGAAGTCAAGTGCCTTGGCCAGCTCTATGCCTTGATCGATTTGGTCCTTTTAAGGAGCAGGATTTAAGGTTCCAATCCGGAGCGTTTGAGTTCACTGCTGCCCCTGGTTGAGGTATGTTGCCGAAGTCGTGGTTTTGGTTACCACGCTCGGCGCAAAGCGTGTGGAGTACAACGCAGGGAAGCGGGCACGGGACAGCTGGGTGGGCTGCAATGCTCATGGGGAGGATGAGCCTATGGTTTCATTCCGGGAAAGGTGTTGAAAACCTGCTCTTTCGTCTTGTCAGAGACAGGGTCTTGGCAGCGGCTGGACTCTAGACTGCTTTATGCGATACGTGCTGTCAGGACCTTCTTGAAATCAAGGGCGTGCAGACCTCAGCGATTTGCGGTGAGACTCCGGTGCCGGTTTGCCTTCGACTCCGAGGTCCACCACAAAGTCATCGACTTCAACCGGGATGCGAGACAAGCGGGTACGGGAGACGCCGAGAACAAGGCCGCGGGTGGGCGGGCCGCCCCGCATCTTCGGAAAGAGAGAGAGGGAGAGACCTAGCAGGAATGCTGCAAACCAGAGCCACCCGACACACTCCCGGCAATGTCCGGGGGTACAACTCCGCTGGCATGTAAAGCAAGCCGATCCCAACAAGTTGCAGCCAAGGCGGGTTTCCTACGATGGGCTTTTGCGATAGAGGGCACTGCTGCACACATTTTCGAGGCTCACTCCAAGTCTCACAGAGAGAGAGAGAGAGAGAGTAGCCATTTTGGCTCAAGCCGTGAGTGGTTCAAGGGGTTCGGGGCCGACCTGCCCACTCCTTGTTCTTGGGGGTGCTCTTTCTCTCTCCTCTCTTTCTCTCGGCGCCCGAACGCCTCAACCCGGGGGCCTGCTCCGTCCTGCTTGGCCTGCCGAGCCATTGCTGAAGGGGGACATCGGCAAGAGTGCGCTGAACTTGCCGGGGGTCCTGGGCCGCGAGATCGTAAAGACTGCTCCACGAGGGGGTCACTCGTCGAGGCGTGCGAAGGACTTTGGCATCAGCAACCTGAACAATATCGGCGACCCAACACATTGACGAGGGGGACGTTGCGAGTCTCCGCACCAAGAAGGGGTCGTAAAGAACGAGCAGGGTGTGCAACGTGCCACTTTGTCCAGGACACCGAGAATGCAATCGACGTCTGGTCAGGAAGGGGGAGCTCAAGCAATGGAAGGGGGCAAGGACGCCCGTGATGCTGATCCTCCAGGGGAGTCGCCGCACAAGAAGAACAAAGTGGAAGAGCAGGCCCTCACACTCTCCATGCTACGTGCCGTCCTGGCCGAGGAACGGGAACGAGACAGAGTCCACTTGGCGCAAAGCTTGGAGGGGGTCAAAGGGGAAGTCGCAGCTATGCAGGGGCGAGTGCTCGAAGTCGAGAACATCGTGTCCAACCAGGTCAGGGACACGGTCCATGCACTAGACAGGGTCACTAAGAACTATGACTCGCAGGCCAAAGCTCTTGAGGCAGTCAGGGCAGCACAGGACAGCTTTGCCCATCGACTTCAAGCCCTGGAGGACAAACCACCGTCCTCCACAGCGCCGGGGAGCACAGTCGATACAGATGGGGGGAGAAAACCGGCGTTGATCATAGGGGGATGGCACCCCGACACAGCAGCAGAAGAGACGCTCAAAGCTGCGAAAAGCGTTCTGCAGTCGCTCGATGTGCCGCTCAATGGGGACGAGCTCTTCGTGCCGGGCCTGCGGAGGGGCTATGCCATACTGCCCATCACAGCAAAGCCTTTTGAGACGGAGGAGGCCAAACGCAGTCGCATACAGGGGGCCATCCAGCGCGTCCGGAATGCCAACATTTCACTGGGGCCCAACGAACAAGGAGGCCTGCGAAAGCTTTGGATTGCTATATCCCAAAGCCCAGAACGGAGGCGCAGAGCCAAACTGGCTGGGAAAGTCAAGAGAGCTATGCTGGAACTCGGGGGGACCCTCAAGGACATGGAGGTCGAGTTTGCCACGGGGACGGTCTGGTACAACCGACACAAGGTCTCCAGTGCCACAGCGGAAAGACCGAAGGGGGCAGAAGCAACCGGGGCCGGCTGGGTCGATGTGGGCCTCATGGCGAAGGCGCTCCATAAGACGATGCCACAAGTCGAGGAGGTTTGGGCAGCCCGCAAAGCGGAGCTGCAATGATGGGACCTCAAGATTGTGAAGGAGTTTCACCGCACAGATGGGGGGGGAACCACCCAGAAAGCACTGACAGTGGGAACCTGGAATGTCGGGGGGCTCACGGCACAACAAGTGCTGGACCTCACCCGAGATTTTGCCGGGGACCCTGACTTGACGAAGCTGCAGGTACGCTTGTTGCAAGAAGTCATTACCGAGCCGGGATTGCATTACCTTGAAGATAGAGGATGGGTCATCGTCTTTGGCAAGCACCAGGAAGATTGGAGGGGCACAGCAATAGCATACAGATTGCAGCGGCACAAGCACACCAACACATGCCTGCTGAAAGCGGGCATAGCAACAACGTTGGCAACACCGCAGGGGAAAGGCAAGATTAGGTACCTTTCGGGGCACATACCACACCACTCCACAATACACCAAGCAGAAGCAATACTGGCGTCGTGGGGCAATACGTGCAGGAAGTCCAAAGTGATCTTGGGCATGGATGCCAATGAGACCTTCACAGATGCGGACGGAGAGGGGTGGCGTGCACATACAGGGAGGGGGGAGTGCATACTAGCATCCGTGGCACAAGCGGGGCTGCAAACGCCGGAGCAAGCACTGGGAACTCCCACCTACCACCCGTACAACACTCAGCAAAGAACGAGACGCCTGGACTATGTGGTCAGCAAGGGGGTGCCAACAACAATGGGGGGTGTCAAGCAAGCAAGCAGGCACCTGGCCAGGTCAGACCATGACCTGGTGTGGGTCCAGTTCGAGTGGGGCTGCCTGGGGGCCCGACCTTCCCGACCTACGTGGGGAGCCAGGCGCTTTGCGGCGGGGGTGAAAACAACGGTGGTGGCCAAGCAACCCCCCTCGCAAACAGACACCCACACAGCGATAAGCCAGCTTGCTTTGGCTGTTACGGAGCCCGGCCGCCCCACACAACGTTTCCAAGAGAGCAACTCCCTCAAGCAAGCACGTAAGGCAGCCCACGCATCACCACAGGGGGATGCCCGCGCAGCCTGGAAGCAGGTGGCACGACAGAGAAAACAAGAGTACAGGCAATGGTATGCCCACTTGGTCAAGGGAGCAAGCAAAGCACATTGGGGGGACTACAGAACGCTCCAACAGATGCGAAGCAGGGTGGGGTGGCAACACACACTCCTGGACCACCACAACTGGCAGCAACACATGACCGACCACTTCAAGGGCATCTTTGCCAAAGCCCCAAGCGCACGCACCCAAAGGCGTTTGGGGGACACTCGCAGAGCCCTTACGGTCCTGTGCAAGCACACACAGTGGGAGCCCTTTACAAGGACCGAGCTTAGCCTGGCGACTAGGACGTGGCAACGCAACAAGGCGAGCGGCCCGGACGCGATTACACACGAGATCATACACCTCCTTCTCCAGCAGCCGCAGTGGGAGACGCGGATATTGCACATGCTGAATGACTTCCTCTACAAGGGGGCTGTTCCGCCACAGGTGCTGCAGGGCATGACAAGCCTGCTCCCTAAGACACAGGGGGACCCCCCGACATGGGGGGATACGCGGCCTATTACACTCAGTTCGGCAATCCTCAAATGGTTTTCACAGCTTCTGCTGTTGCGCGGGGGGAGATCCATCCAGGATGACGCACCGCATCAATGGGCGGCCAGGGGGAAGCAGGCACCAGAGCTCCTCGTGGTGATACGCCGAGTGGTCAGGCATGCGAAACAGTGGGGGGTCCCGACGTGGCTCGTTAAGCTCGACATCCGCAAGGCGTTTGATAGCGTATGGCAGGAAAGCATGGGGGATATGGTGGCGGCCAGAGTTGGGGGGCTCCGAGAGGGAGGGGGAGGCACTCCAGAGGGGAAACCGTGGGAGGCCAGGGCATGGTTGGGGTTGCTGGAGGCGAGGGAAATGCAGGTGGCAGTGGGAGATACGGTCACGTCTATACCCCAAACAAACGGGGTTAGGCAGGGATCCCCTGACAGTCCCATCCTGTTTAGCCGCATAGTTGCTGACTGTGTGGCGGACACCCATGCGCAAACAGTGCCGACGATCCCCCCTGCCAAAGGACCACCACCGCCGGAGTTTGGGGGGTCCTTTATGGATGATACTTACCTGTGGTCGCACGACAGGACCCATTTGCAGGCGGCGTTGGCTACCCTTGAACGACTCTTGGCCCAACACGGGCTCGCAGTCAACCCAAGCAAAACAGCCATACTCTTCAGTCAACCGGAAGGGGGGGGGCACATACCGAATTGGGGGCTCAGGAGGTTGCGTGCAAACCGTTCGGCGAGGTTATTACCGTCCTGGGATCCCCAGTCACCTTTGGGGAAGGGGTGGCGGCAATTGTGACTGAGATGCACCACCGTGCAAGGAAGGCATTCCACAAACATGCTGGGATCCTTTGCGCCCCGACCCCCATCAAAGGACGTATTGTCCTCCACCAGACGCTTGTGAGAGGGGCGGCATTGTGGGGGGGACAGTCGTGGCCCATCGCAGACAGTATTCTCAGAGCAATCAACAGCACGCAACTCCTGCAAATCAGGCGCATGATGCACCCCGCGAGGAGAGGGGGGGAGACCTGGGAGCAATGGCACATACGAACGATGAGGGGGGCGAGGGTGGCGCTACACCAGTCCAAAGTGCTCCGGTGGAGCACCTTTCAGCTGGGGCACACCTGGGATCTATATGGTCACATGGCGCGAGCACAACCCGGGGGGAGGCCCATGTTGGTGTGGAAAGACTTGGAATGGTGGGCAAAAGAACAAGCCAAACCAAGGCAGCAGAGACAAAGACATGTCAAGTTCAACGCGATGGCAGACCCAGAGAGACAACTGGCAGCGATAGCAGGGGTGGCATGGAAGGTGGTGGCACAAGACACGTTACAGTGGAACCAGAGGGGGGCACAGTTCATTGAACGCTTTGACCTACCGTGGGCAACAGGCAGGCAGGGGAGCATCTCAAATCTGACACCGAACAGAAGCACCGGGGAGAGACAGCACTTAAGAGCGAATGAAGCTGCTCAGCTGATAGCTTGAGCGTGGGGGCTCTCCCGTTAGACGCAGTATGCAGTGCTTCCAGCATGTGTGCATGAGTGGAAATGTGAACCTGTGGATGCGCCCGCAGTGCTCAAGCCTAGCGAAGCCAATACGCGCTAACTTGAGCATCGCAAGGCAGCATGTTTCTCATGCTGCGCGCCGCAGTACTGCTGTGGCAGGTGAGCACAGCCACCCTTAAGCCCACAGACGGCGCACCAGCGCCCCAGACAACGGCGACCACGACCAGCGCGACCTCAGCAGCAGACACACAACAAGGGGGACCGTGGAGCCAGACTTACCAACAGCCAGCGGAGACAGCACAG